TCTGATAGTTGGACGTATTGGGTCTAGCAAATAAAACCACTTGCTAATTAACTTGCTACTCCATAACATATTCAACTAAAATCGAGTTTATCTTTATAGGATAAATCCACAGCAGGATAAATATGAGTTGCCGTACAAGTACAATGAAAAACTAAAAAAAAAACTTGGTGCTAGCAAAGATATATTTATTATAAGGACACCCGAAGATCTTGTTCCTGTTGCAGAACTGGACTCGGACTAATATAAGATTATCATTTTTAATGATATCCTGTAGAAGAATGCTGAGATGGAGAAGATAAAATTTTAGTTTCATTGCCAAGAAATGGAAGATTCAATTTATCTTGCACAAGGGTTTTATACATTGATCGTTGTATCAGACCAAATACTGGTTGTTTATATTATTTAACGGCCTGGATAATATTTAAGTACAAAACAGGAGAACAATGCGGTGATGTTTCAAAAGACAAATTTATTGAGCTGTACCATGAGGCATCTCATGGAAATCATAGTTTTTTCTTATTCAATAAACTTGCAAGATATACCAAACAATACCAAACACGTTTCGATGCAGAATTGACAGGTTCTTAGATTGTGAAGAAGTATAAAATGAATGTTTTATTTGCAATAATTGACAATGCTCGGATAAATCTTCTAAAGAAATATGTGGCTACAAGGACTGCGTTTAAGATAAAGGTTGAGCAAGTACATGCTGGAAACATCAAACAACAGACGAAACTGCTAGACTCTTTAAGCATATTACCGAACCTGTACTTGGCAAGTAACCAGGTGTTGATAAAGTATTACCTGATAATATAGGAAAATTAAAGATAAAGGTATGCAAGGACTACTTGAAGAAAGACAAAAGAAAATTGGTGAGATACTGTTAAGCGAATTGGTGATCCTGATGCACGATAAAATGAAGTTTTGCAAAACATGAGGAAATACAGATTTGTTATTTAGCAAGCAAATTAGAGAACAAAGAGAAAAACAAAATATCCTTTAGGAAGCAAACAAGGAAAATATAATGAAAAATTATAAAAACGTTAACAGAAAAATTAGTGTTTCAGATTATTTTGCCTTCGAGTTTGACAAAAGATATATCAAGTTTGAAAAAAACATAAAAATAAGATCATGAACTAAAAATGAAAACGGTTTCTTTTCAAAAAATGTAAATAAGGTGATACAAAAAGTAAATGAAGCTAGAACTGGTTAAGAATCTGCAACGGAAATTAATGATGTTGACAAATATTATAAGATAGTCCTATAACTTGTTATTGATAAGATACATTTAGAAGTTTTTGATAGAGATTTAGGATCTGATAAAGATTTTACAACTGCAAAACAATTCAATCAATGGCGAAGGAAATATAAGATGAGAATCATTAACTAAAAACAGTAATTATAACCTAAACTATAACAATTATTGATAAAGACAATACTTAAACTAATACAGTGGAAAATGAACGAGGATTGCAATTCACAGGAGCGAACTGCACAAGATAAAATGGAAGAAAACAAAGCCAACAAGGTGATCTTAAAGATGTTAGAAAAATACTTTATGATAAGACGAATAGAGGGAAATGAAGAATCATATCTGGAATGTTATTACCAAGAAGGGTCACAATTCATAGATATGACAAGAATACCCAGAGAGCAGACACCGGAAACAGCAGACGTAATGATCGCAATGAAGGTCTTAAATCCAGAATACGTAACAAAAACATATTCAATAAAACCAGACGGGTACAAAGGTTACATACTGAGACTAAAGAATAAGAGCCCAATATTGCCATACGGAGAGATGAAGATTTAGGGACTGCTGGTTACCGTAAAAGAACCTATCCCAAGACTGAAGAAAATAATATAAAAAAATGGGAGAACTACATTTGAGTGACATCCCCTTAGAGAGACCCTTGCAAGAAAAAACACCCATAGAACAACGGAAAAAACAAAAACAATAGCCTAAACAGACAAACCCAAAACATTTACAGCCAACTTCAACATTCCAAACCAAAGCAAAATTCACAAGCACAACATGGATCCAGCTAAAACGTCCAAACTAAACGTTTAAAACAACAGTGATACAGCCAAAACGTCCAAACTAACAACAGGGATCCTGCCAAACTAAAAGTTTAAAACAACAGCAGTCCTAAGAAAAAGCATCCGAAGAAACAGAACAAATCAAACGCCGCAGCAGAAATTAACAGACAGGCATTAACTTTGGTAACATTAGGTTCACAAATAGCGGAAACAACAAAGACCGAAACACAGAGAGAGAGAGAGAGAGAGAGAGAGAGAGAGAGAGAGAGAGAGAGAGAGAGAGAGAGAGAGAGAGAGAGAGAGAGAGAGAGAGAGAGAGAGAGAGAGAGAGAGAGAGAGGTTACAATTGGAAGAACAAAGTAGAATAGAGATTACCTCCTTCACGAAGATGGAACCCTTCACGAACAATGCCTTATGAAACAAGCGGGAGAATACTTTCTTCAAAATTGAAAAACAAAAAGAATTACTAAACACATACATACTAGACAATTATGACATAAATGTAAATATATTCGCATTACTGCAATATGAAACACTTTAGACAAATTTTAGCATAGAACAATATACTATATAGACCAATCATTACATGTAGGGCAGGATGGGCCTCCCTAAATGGTCTGGAAAGATCAACCAGGGAGAGCACCATCTACAGGAAAAGAAATTTTGCTGCATAGGATTATTTACGATGTATCAAAAATGTTATTTAGAAAGAAATTTTAAGTAAATACAAGCCAGCCATTGGATTATCTATAGAAGGTTGGGAAGGAAAAAAGTGTAACCACTGGGTACGATGGGAATGGGTATATCACTCACACTAGGGGATAGGGTGGTGCGTCTATCAGTCTACCCCTCCCCCTCACCATCAAAGGAACAAATATGTGTTTTCTCAACACAAGACTGATTAGGCTGCAAGGTGTGCACAAATCACACTGTTTACTCTAGATCCCAAAGGGTAAACTAATTACTTGACTGTATAGCACGGGCAGCACGCTCGTTCTCATACCATTTCTCAAGAAATATGCCGTTCGACAGATGTTAAAGAAAAGAGTGGGGAAGGCGAGAAACATAAATATCACATACATCCCATCAGACTGCCCATGTAAAGTTACGGAGGCATCGCGTTGAAAGGCAATCGAACCGATCTCCAAGTAGGACCATGGAGCCAATGCAAGTACGTTTTGGGTGAGGATATAGCACAGAATTCGCAAGTCTTAATTGAAGGTTTATAGAACGGAACTGCCAATGAAAGTCTTCTGCGGCTTTTTTTTTCTTCTTGTTGTGTTACTTCACAACGGAATCCCACGCCTTTGTAAAAAGAGGTTAGTCATAATTTTAAGATTATTCACTCACTTTATTCTTTCGTCACTGCATTTGTTTCGAAGTTTGTTATTTAACCAATTAGTTTCTTCACCAAACCCATCGTTGAGCAAACTGGAAGGAGAGACATTAAGTACTTATTTTAGTACAAAAACAGTAGGTGGCATTTGGGACACTGTCATCAGTTATCTTTAATAATTTCAATCAGTACTTGAGAGTTCTACTATATGTTATTATTTGCATTGGCGTTCTGACAAAGTATAGATAAACGTATGCTGAATGTGTTTTGTAAAGCCAATAGTATATTTATAAAATGACTATCTGCAGCAATTGCCTTGAGTAAACCCCATATTTCCGACTCAATTCAAATTTGGTGCTTTATACGATCAAATATTTGGAACAGAGCTTTGTAGTTTGCGATGCTAGCGGTGTTTTAAACGTATACAATGAGTTTGTAGAAGAGAATACAAAGCCTATATATATATATATATATCTATATATATATATATATATATATATATATATATATATATATATATATATATATATATATATATATATATATATATATATATATATATATATATATATATATATATCACTCACTATCAAAACTCGAGTTTTTATCTTCACAAATATGATCCTTTTCAAAAAACTACAATATTAGTTTTCTTTTTTATTTCCATGTTTGTTATTTTATTTCTAGATGTCGCAGTAATCTTTCAGTTTATATGAAATTCTTTGAAACAGCACATTTAAAATTCTTTTAAATTTATTAGCAAATTATAATGTGACACCACCGTTATTCGGATCAGACGTGTCTTCAAATCATTTAGAAAAAATGAAAATAAAGTGTGCAATTAAACTCAACTTTGCCATACTACAAGGCAATTTAATATTTGTCAAACAATTTCGCGATTTTAGACAAGATTTGATATTTGCATATATGTCTTTTAGCATCGTAAATATTTTGCTAATATTTTCATTGAATGATTTATGATAAAATAAGTTCTTGTCTGTAAGTTACTGTTAGTACGATGAAACGTTGTTTTTTTTCATAATGAACAAAGAGAGCATAAACCTACATCTGTTTTTTCTAAAATATTACATATCAATCTGCTTAGGATGAATACATTATCTACAGTGGAATATCCAAGGCTGAAACCAGCTTAATCTCCACCTAAAATGTCATTTTCTTTGACCCAGTTACCTAGTCGGTCATTTGAAATTGACACCACTCCGGTGCAAGACATGAGAGAGCTCTTTGATACAGTTAACATTACCAACATTATAGACTTCCTTAAGGAAGCAAATATCTATCATAAGTTATAGCTTTTATTTTATCACCTTGTTCAGTTTTGTGTTATATTTATGCAGTCGATAGATTTTAATTGCCAATCATATGTTTTCGTTATCATACTTTTGCACACCCCGTTGATCGGGAAACTTAATACTTTACCATCGTTCACATTTTTATCGCTTTACCTTTAACTGTTTGGACCCCAATCGCTGGTCGATACAATTATTTTACCAGTTTTAAATGTAAAAGGATATAACCTAATGTTTGGCGCTAAATAGCCACATAGTGCGGTGCGCCGTAAAAATATAAATCAATCAATCAATCAATCAATCAATCAATCAACCACTCCGGTGGTCTAGTGATGAGAGCGTCCGCCTCGGATGCGGGAGGTCGTGGGTTTGATCCTCGGCTGAGTCGTACTAAAAGACTTACAAAAATGATGCTAAGAGCTGCCTTGCTTGGCGCAAAGCATTAAGAAGTTAATGTTAGGACTGGTCGGCCTGTTTGTCAGGATAATGTGACTGGTTGGGACATCATACTACATGTCTGTGGCAGGATGCTCCAGTTCTAACATCACTATAAAGTGCCACACGACAGACATCGTAGCTACGTTAAATAACCCAAATATCTCTCTCTCTCTCTCTCTCTCTCTCTCTCTCTCTCTCTCTCTCTCTCTCTCTCTCTCTCTCTCTCTCTCTCTCTCTCTCTCTCTCTCTCTCTCTCTCACACACACACACATTTAAAATTGAAGTAAATATTTTTTCTTAGTCTAATCCCAATATAATTTTCAAACACATTTATATTCCCCTTACGTGATTTTTGCGAGAAACAATAGTGGTCAAACACTTCGGGAAGTATCCAAGATAAATAATTTATTGAAAATTATATGATAGGTACCTTAATATCTCCATTTGCTATAAAAGTCACTCGAATGATTATCAATTCCACTTGATTTTCCAGACTTAATACTTTTTTTTATAACATGTAGCACATCCACTTTAGTTATTTACCGTCCAGATGGCTAGCAGTGATTCGTTTAATCTGAAATCTTGGTCCACCTCATATTGTACATTAAATAACTATCATTGTGCATTAAATAATTCTCAATAGTGCTTTTATCATTCGCTGATAAAAAAATTTCCATTGGTGTTGTTTCCTCATTTTAAGTCTCAACAAGCTTTTCGAGTCTTTGCATGAAAATTCCTTTTCAAGTCTAGCATTTTCCTTTTCTATGTACAGGTTGCATTTTTGCCTAATTGCATTTATGTACGCATTTTTATAGTACTTAAATTCTAAGTTACCTGTCATATTATTTCTTTGATTCTTCCTGTGGGTGGGGTTTTTAGGACGCATTTGCGATACCACCTTTTAATATAATAACCTTCTGAATCTCCACTCTGTTATTTGTTGAATTAGCTCTATTGTTACTTTATCTTTTGTGCCACAAAGTCACTTCTCCACATTTAATCATACTTGAAATTATAAAATTTTAATTAATTGAATATATTTCTATTTTATTTTTGGTATCAAATCTAGTTATAGAAAATTATTGCTAAATGGACATTTTTGACAATTGTTTAATTTTATTTTAATTTCCTCTATTTACTTTACGCTGAGTAATTACCTAGGGTTTTGTTTGGTAAAATTATCATTTCTACGTAATGGATATTTAGACTAGAATTATGACACCTCATGCTATTTCACCATTTAGCCAAACATTATAAAAGCACTTTACCAGCATAGTGAGGGTTGGGTGGTAGATTTTATATGCGTCCACTGTTTCTATGCATGTGTCCATGACACCTGGCCATTAACCCGTTGTTTGCATACATGTCTTAATAATTCCTAGCTATTAGCAGATTGACCATCGAGGTTCGATGAAGTCAATCCTGCGCTATTCTTCGCTGATGGGTTCTCGTGTGCCTGATGAGTCTGATACGCGATACACCTGTCCTGGAGCAGTGTGTACACCAGAGACGTAGGTTGGTTCTTGACGTCGAGGCCTTCCCGTGTTCGCTGGCGTCGGCGACGTGCTTTCTACGGGTATCTTCAAAGATTTTTCTTTCATTAGGAGCAGCTTCACGCCAGCAAGATGTAACCTTGGTGCAGGACTCGAGGTCTGTCGCAGATATCGAGCAGAATCTCAGGCTGTCCTTGATGGAATCTTTGAATCTTTTCTTCAGGCGACCAATTTTTCTGTGCCCTATAGATAGAACTTCATACAAAATTTGACATGGCATTTGAGACTTATCCATAAGGATGACATAATCCGTCCATCGGAGTTGGGTGTCTCCATGACGATCGCATCGATAATGGTTAATCATGCTCAATCCAGCACTTCTAAGTTCAACACTGTCTTGCATTTGACGCCCATAATACAGAACAGGGCTCTCGTGTGGAAGCGCTCCTGCTGCTTGTTTTGTGCTTTTTGTATATTGTCCAGGTTTCACATCCATATAGGAGGTTTGTTAGCACAACTGCTTCATACACCTTTATCGTGGTGGACTGTTTGATATTCTTGTGACTGAACACACGAAAGTGGAGACGTAATAGTGATTGACTGACTCTGCTGATGTGTGCCATTATCTCTTTGTCTAATGATCCATCGTAAGATATGATGCTACCAAGGTACTTGAAGTGATCGACAGCTTTCATCTGGGTGACATCGATAGACACAATTTGGGGAACTGTGGTGCCTGGGACCGGTGGGTGAAGTACCTCTTTATTTTTCAGACTGGTATTCATTCGGCGAAGGTCGAAGAGAGAGCCATCCAGTTTGTATTTTAGGTACACTCCTTTGAGGAGATCTCGTGTAGCATGGTTCAGGACACATGTGAAGAAGAGGTTGAAAAATACTGGGGAGAGAACCTACCCCTGCTTCACGCCTGTAGAAACGTGGAATGGCTTAGAAACATCCACGTTGTAGAGAACGGATCTCATCATACCGTCGTGGAAAAAAATTTGATCATATTAATGAACTTCCTACGACATCTGAGTCGTGCAAAGATGACCCATAGTTCATCTCTGTGGACCGTATCGAAGGCCTTTGTGAGGTGTACGAAGATACCGTAGAATATCGTGTTTATTCAATGCATGCTTCCTTTATCTTTCTCACTGTGAAGATTATGTAGATCGTGCTCCGATCTGGTCTGATGACACACTGGGTTTCCAGCAATATGGCATCCGAGATACTATCGAAAAGACTGGTTGGAAGGATGCGCGCCATAATCTTGCCTGCAATCCAAAGGAGTGATAAGCCTCGATAGCTACCGCAGTGAGCTTTGTTCCCTTTCATTTTGTATAAGGTGACAATCATTGCGTCTTTGAACTCCTGTAGCATGGATGACTCCGCCCAAATGCAGATCAGGATATTGTGCAGTGCATCAAGGACATTGGGGCAGCTGCTTTGAAGTGTTTAACAGGAATTCCATCAGTGCTTGGTGACTTGCCAGATCATGTTGATGGCTCTCTCAAATTCTTCCGTGGTAGGGGGAAAATCCAGGCCTGAGATAGTTGGCTTCGGAACAATTGCGTCTAACGCTGAGGAGTCTACGATGGATGTCATGTTCTGTAGGTTGGAGAAGTGTTCCTGCCACCATTGGGTTATACTCTGTGTCTTTGAGCAGTAGTCCCGTCAGAAGATATCAACGGGGATACTGCAAGCTTTTGACGGTCCATAGACATCTTTCAGAGACCTTAAAAACACTTTAAAGTTGCTAGTGTCTGCGTAATCTTGTACTTCATCTGCGCTGCGGTCCCACCAGCTGTTCTTCATAATGCTGAGTTATCTGGACTTTGCGATGCATGTGTTTGAAGCGATCACGATTTGAGACTGAGTCATTGTCCTTATGGCATTCTATATAAGCTCCTCACTTTTGTTGAAGGAGGATGCTTATCACCTCGTTTTTTTGTCAAAACAGTCTTGTTGGACTTTTCTTTTGAGTCCTAGGACGACCTACGCGGACTCGTTCAACATGTCCTTAAGTTGGTTCCACTTTGAGGTTGGATCACCTGTCAGAGGTCAGTGTGCAGTCAATAGGTTTTCAATGTGAGCTTGATATTGCTCTCACATGCAGATAGTCCAGCCTTGCAGTTTTGAACTGACTCCATGGAACTTTCTTTTGCATTGTGGCGGGACAATGTTGAGATCAAGGATAGCACTGACTAACCGTTGGTAAATCAAGCACTCGGCTTTCCTCAAGGCTCTTGTCATCCGTATATCGCGGACATCTGTTACTAACGATGACATAGTCAATCAGATGCCATGGTTTGGATCTGGAATGCATCCAAGTAGCTTTATACTTTTTCTTCTGACAGAAAAGAGTGTGTTTGAGACAGTCAAATTATTCTTTGCAGACATTGTCAGTAGAATCAGTCCATTCTTATTCATTTTTCCAGTTCCATGTTATCCCAATACTCTATTCCAGCTTTCGTAGTCATAACCCACTCCGGCGTTAAAATCGCCAAGTCGCATCGCAAGCTGAGGTAGCATTTACGATGACATCTAGACTCTTGTAGAAGGCCGCCTCGTCGTCTTCGCTGCTGGTCAACCACGGGGATATACGAACCGATGATCGTGACATATATACATATATATATATATATATATATATATATATATATATATATATATATATATATATATATATATATATATATGTGTGTGTGTGTGTGTGTGTGTGTGTATGTGTGTGTGTGCATGTATTGATGCATGAATGCATGTATGTATGTGTGTGCATGTATGTATGAATGAATGCTGCATGATCTGGGTCTAAAAGGCCGACTGCTCTCGTTATATCGAACTTCCTCTCAGACAGGGAATTCAAGGTACGAGTGGGCTCCACCCTCTCTGATATGCACGATCAAGAGATGCGAGTACCTCAGGGCAGTGACGCTTTCCAACATAAAAATTAATAGCAGCACAAAGTGTCTGACGCCAGATATGGATTGCTCTCTAAATGTCGATGACTTTCTAATATGTTACCGATTCAAACACATGTATACAAGTGAAAGACAATTACAGTAAAATATGAACAAGAATCAAAATTTGGCCGATGCTAATTATTCAAAATTCTCGAAATCAAAAACTGTATGAATGCTTTTCTGTCATTTACCAAAACATCATGATGGACCGAAACTCAAGCTGGACGGAAAACCTATTCCACTTGTTGAGGAAGCAGAAAATTCAGGTATAATCTTTGACAGAAACTGACTTTTATTCCACACCTGAAATATTTGAAAGCTAAATGTTTAACGTCTCTTTAATTACTTAAAGTAATAGAGCACGCTGACTGGGATTTTGATAGAAGAATCATGCTCAGTTTATACAGAACGTTTATCCGCTCGAAACTAGACTATGGTTGCGTTGTCTATGGTTTAGTTAGGAAATCCTATTTGAAGATGCTTGACCCAATTCA